AAAGTGTTTGAAAGATTGAAGGGCTGAAAAATTTAATAGGGATTATTATTGTTTCTGGCACTTTAATAACAGGATAACAGAATCAGGATATAGAGATTGTAAGATGATATTGACTTTGTAGTGTTGAGATACTGTGTGGAGAAAAAAAATGAGTAAAAGAAAATTCCGTTGATGTTGTCAATACAATACAAACAACAACAAAACGGCGACGATTACAATGATCAAAAGACAACAACAGCAACAACAAAAAGTTGTCTAAAGAATAGACTGAATAAATTGAAGAACTCTTTCACTATTCCCATCATCATTTATTTAATTTTTGTTGTTGTTGTTGTTGTTCATTGGTGTTGATATCGATGTGAAATTAATTTTTCTTCCACACCAGAAAGCTTTCACACAAGAGTTTTATTTTTTCTTTACTTTTTTTTCATTTAATGATATTAAATTTTTTTTTCTTTGGTTAGTTTTCCCTCCAACAAATAATAATAATCATCATCATCAATGGTTCAGTAGACTTTGAGTGCAAATTTTTCTCTTTTTCATCTTGATGACTTTAACACACACACACACCACAAACAACTAAAGATCGAAACAAAACACAATGATTACTGATCACGTTTCTCCGGATCAAATTGATATAAAAAAAATAAAATACAAAGTCAATCTGTTTCTACCTCTCTGACGAAATAATAATGTATATATATAGGCAAGCCAAAAGATCTTGGTGGTCAATGATTTTTATATTCATTTCATTTCATTTGTTTGTTCGGCTTATATGTGTGTACGAAGATGTTCATTGGTTAATTTGTTCAATGACTATATCATATGTACTGCCAAAATTTATATATATATAACATTAATGTTTTTTATCCAAACAATTCACGTAATTTTTATATAAATATATTTACAACAACAACAAAAAAAATTTTTTTATTAGATCCTGAAATAAAATACAGATGAAGACAAATACAGTGTAATGGATTCCACAAGAATTATATCTTCATCATCATCATCATCATTATGACGAAATAAAGGAAGAGGCAATGAAGAAAGAAAAAAAAAAAAATAAGGAAAAAACCAAACACAAGAAACAACTAACAATAAATACGATATTCATATTCACTATCTCAATGATTCAATGAACTAAAAGCCATAGGAATTATCATCATCATCATCACCATTATTAAATATATCAAAATATTCTTGGTGAAACAAGAAAGAAAAAAAAATTCGAATGAGACAATAACTGTTATATAAGTCAAACATGATGATGATGATCATCATCATCATCATAACAAATCGACCATTAAAATGATCGAAAGTAAGTTATAATCATCATTATCCACACATTGCCAACAAAACACAAAACAAAAAAAAAAAAAAAAAACACAACAAATGAAAAACAAAACTAATGCCCATATTTTCACGATAAATGTAAATGTATTTGAGATTTTGGAACATCAAGACCGGATTTTTTTTCATTCTGATGAATTTTTATCATCAAATGTAAAATGATGTACTAAGTAAATTGTGTGAAATGTATATGGAATGGAATGATTGAAAATGAGAAAATTACGCACACACACACACACAAAATGCATGAATCATGAAAACATTTAGGTCAGTGATTCTATTTTATATTCATTTTAACAAACAAAAATATTAGTATCAAGTTAATTATTATGATAGCTTGTATTTTGAAAATTTCTTGCATCCGTGTCGATGTATGAATTTATTTTATATTCGCTTCATTTCAATGCCATTATTGTTTTGTTTCAGTGATTCTGTGAAATTTTATTTTATTCATCATCATCATCATTGTGTTGTTGTGGATTTTGGTAATGGAAATAATGACTATATTGTTGTAAGGCCATCAATTTTTCATTACAAAAATATCATCATATAAAAAAAACAACACACAATACAGATGGATTTGAATGTGATAAAGAGAAAAAAAATCAATTGATTATGGTGTCGATAATGATGATATAATTTGATTATTATTATTATTAGTGCTGATGGTTGTTATAGTAAATATTTTTTTTCTGTGAGTGTGTGTGTATGTGTGTGTGTGTGTGGGCGTTTTGTTTTGTTGATTTTATTCATAAATAAATTCTCATCTACCACTATCGACTAAATATCCGGATCAATAACAACAATAATGTATGTGCAAATAATGTCATCACCATGTGACTCGATTTTATAAACAATTTTTTCTAAAACAGTTTATTATCGATTACTGAAAATTGATGAAATTTCAACGATTATAGCAAGAATAATTTTTATTCAGTGAAATTTTTTTCTTCATGGCCTTTACCTCTATTCTTTGATGATGAATTTCTTTTTGTAATTCATTTTTGTTTTGTTTTGTTTTGTTTCAGCTAAACATTGTTTCAGCACAGAAAATAAATCATCAATATACGATTAATGAATACGAGTTGAATTTTATCACAAGAAACAAAAAAAAACTAGTAAAAGAAAAAATTATTACTCAATGAAAACAAAAAAAAAAGAATAATTGACTTGAAAGTTATTTTCATTCATCTATTGAAAAATGATCAATTCATATGGAATGGATGATGAAAAGAATAAATAAAAAACCTGAACTTTGCGAGCATTCTGTAGATACACACACTCACCACACACACATAATGAATGAACAGAGAAAAAAAATCTGACAATGTGTAAATCATAATTAATGTAATAATGATGTTGTTGCATTGCTTTAGTTACAAATGTACAACGATAATACATGATCATTGTATCCGTGTCCGTATTTGTACCCGCGTTTTTCAGCGTGTGTGTGTGTGTGTGGAAAACTAATTTACTGATCATCATACTATGATATTATGTATGGGTGATGTACAAAAAAAAGCTCATCTACAAAGTTTGGAACACTAATATTCTGTGTGTGTGTGTGTGTATGTGGGTAATTCTCCATAAACCAATGGAATGTATAAAAGTAAATGGATTGCAAAAAATGCGATATTTTTGGCAAAGAGAAAAATGTATCGATTATGATTTAAGGTTTTTTGCGTTTTGTTTGTGTGTCATTTAATTTAATAAGCCAAAAAATAAAAGAAATACGATAAACACAGAAATAAACTTTGCTTTCAATCGTCAAATCTGGTTGAATTAAATGAACAGAAATGGAATCGATCAAAATTTAATTTTTTTTCATTGAAAATTCAACGATAAAATGATAATTTGAATGATAATCACTGAAAGCATGAAAAGCAAATATGTTTGAAAAAAGGTCATCATCAGGGCCGCTATTATCATTATCATTATAAGCCGGTGATGACGATTTCATCCTTGAAAATGATGATGGCCGAAAACAAATAACGGAAACGATAAAAAAAACAAAAATAAACTGATTATATTGGTAGCCATAAAAAAACGAATTTTTCAGTTAAACCAATCAAAAAATTTGTGTCCAATGGAAATGAATGATAGGCCATGACAAACAAACAAAAACGAAAATTTCCTTTGTCAAGTATGTGATGGTTCTATGGGCGACCCTACGACAATAAAAAAAAAAGTAAAATCTGTGTTTTGATTCAAAATTACGTTTTTTTATACCTTTTTTTAGCGTTATAGTATAGTAAAATTTATAGTTGCAGGTTATTTTTTTCAGTTCATCTATTATAATCATCTTTTGTTTGCAAATTATGAATTATTGATTACGTTCAAAAGAATTTAGGATATAATCGATGATTGAAAAAAACAATGGGCGTGTGTTTGGAAGAAAAAAGTTTGAAAATTCGTTTACATGAAGAAATGAAAATGCAAGTTTTGTTCTTTTTTATAACAAACAATTAGAGCTGCCATCTGCAATTTGTTTTTGAAAATTTCAAGGAAAACGATAAAATTTATTTATGTTCGTGGTTTGTTTTGTATAAATGTCATGTAACGTTAGTTATTTTCTTGGTTATTTATTTGCACGTGCCAAGGACTGGATTATATTTTTGGTATCGTTAATGTCCATCATGATGACATACATAATAACAGCCAATGTTCAATTATCAATGAAACGTTACCTCTTATGTTAACGAATGATGTAACCATGAAAAATGTGATTGATTTTTTTTTGTTTGTATGGTCAAACAATGGACATTAAAATGTGGAGAAGTAACATTATCTAGTAGTATTGGATTACCTAATTCAGTGTCATCCATTCAATGGTCACCACCAATATCTATTTGGTAACTAATCTTTGACATGGTTTTTCCGGTTGTTGTTTTGAATTCAATGTCATCACATTGATCCAGATTTGAATTATCATTGAAAATATCTGTATAAAAACACACAAACAATTGGTGATATTTTTAATTTTTATTTAGCGATCCTGAAAAAATTCTGAAAAGATTCATCTTTGAAAAACTTCAAAATGAAAAGTAAGAGAATATTTTATCTTATATATAATTCACGAATCATCATCGTTTTTTTTCATAGATTTGACCGTTTTGATGTTTTTGATGTTGGCATTAATAATGCCATGGTCAGGCACCATTAATGCTATACCAAGTCCAATTGAAGTTGTGGCCAATTTTTTCAAATGTTCAGCCGTTCATTTAAGTGATCAATGTTTGGATCTTGCATACAAATGTCTTCTTCTAACGAATCCATTGAAATGTTTTAAAACTTTGAAATGTGCTGAATTAAGTTTTGCTCAATGTGCAATAATTGAATAGAATTATTGTGAATGTAAAGAAATTGAATTGAAAACTTTTGGAAGAAATAATTAAAAAAATTTTGATGATAATTTGAACATAATTCTAATGAAAAATATCAAAATTTTAATTTTTTTCCCCGTTAGCAACAATAGAAAAAATACATCGCTACTAAAAATATAACTCTTGTCAGGAAAATTGGACTTCCTACGACAATACAATGTTTCCTTTGTTGATTAGATTAGAGAGTTAATTATTTTTTTTGATTAATAATGATGGATCAATGATCATTTATGGACAATTTTGAATTGTCGGATTGACTATAAAAACCATGACCATTCCATTACTAAAAATCATTCAATTCGATTGTCTAGTTATAACAAACGTCAAAATCCATCAAAATGAAAGGTATAACTTGTTTATTTCAAAAAAAAAAATTTAAATTAATTGAACCTTTTTTTACCAGGTTTCGTAGTCGTAATATTGGCATTGACCATGGCGTTGGTTACAATGTCTCATGCCCAAAGTGAAATGCCATCAATGCCCGAATGTCCAGATTCTGAAAGCATTTTTACATGGATAAGCGATACAGCAAAATTTGCTGCAAAATATGGTGCTGCTGCAGTTGAATACATCAATTGCATGAGAAAATCAGCAGACATATCATGTGTTACAGAATGGATAAAATTTTTACTTGGATTTGGAGAAAGGCCTATTTGCTATCCACACTCTCATGCGAAATGTGTATTTTACCTGGGATAATGATTTTCCTGAAAGGTTAAATAAATACAATAAATGTGTGGATTGATTCCAATAAACGGATTGTAATCAATTTTAATTTCTATTTATTGTATCATTCCAATTGAAATAAAAAAACCAAAACGTTTCAAAAAATAAAATGAAAACGAATGTTATTATTATTTCAAGTGATAAAATTTTTATTCAATTTTAAATCAATCAATAACAATTATATTAATCATAATCATCAAATGGTAAAAATGAGAGAAAGAGAGAGAAAAGAGTGAAAGAATTTATTTAATTTTTCAGAATTCAGATAATAATTAAACACATGAGATAGTAGTAGTAGTAGTAGTAGTAGATTGTTTGTAGATCAAATTAATCAATCTAAAAAAAAAAAAAAAAAAAAAAATAGGCAGACAAGAAAAAAAAGAGACAAAATTGAATTCAATGTGAGAACAATATGATGAAAAAAAAATTGAAAGAGAAAGTGAAAAAAAAGATCCAAATCAAATCAAAAAAAAAAAAAATAATCAAATCTTCAGACATTTGAAATATATTTATGAGTGTGTGTGGGGAACACAAAAAAAAAAATAAAATTTTCGTTTTGCACAAAATTCACAAAAGATGGCCCAAGCTATCCACATCATGTTGTATAATAATTTTTTTTTGGTTGAATTAAAAATGTAAATAAATTATACAATCGGTTGTTTTCCACTGTTTGTATATTATATATTAGAATTAAAACAGGTAGAGAACAAGAACAGACAAAGCAAGAAAAAAATTGAAATGAATGATAAAACAGAAAAAAATGGGAAAAAAATCAAAATTTTTATCAAAAAAAAAAAAAAAGAATAAATGAATGACAATCCATTTCTGGAAAAGATCCAATGAACAAGGAAGAAATTGGAGAACCAAAAAAGTGGCAATGAATGATGAAAAAAAAAAAATAAATTCACAAAAAAAATCCAAAAAAACGCCCAGCAAGCAAAAAAAAAAATAACTGAATAAAACAAATGAAAAAAAATGTGATTGAATAAAAAAAAAAAAATTGAACAGAAAAAAATGTGTTGAAAGCATGAATGGTTTGGAAGGGGAAGGTGGGTTGTTGATCGTGAGAGAAAAAAAAATTTCTTGCCATGAGCTAATACCCATTTTACATCATCATCATCATCATCATCATCATTATCATGTGAACAGCGTAGCAAAAAAAAATTCAATCAATCGGACGAAAAAAAATGTGAGATATGGGTATGCGTGTTTGATATCATCATGTATTCACGTGTGTGTGTGTGTGTGTGTCTGTTGTATTCGATATAAATCCAAAATGTTAATGAGAAGAAAAAAAAATTGTCCATTGAGAGACACATTAATTCGATTATTAGTAAGTAAAAATTGATTGATTGATTACGACATCACGTAAGTGTGTGTGTGTGTGTAATCCTTTATTATGGCTCTATTAAGAATATGAGTGTGTGTGTGTAGGTGTGAGTGTGGTTTATGTGCAAAATAAACATCATAAACAAAAAGTTCAACGACGAATCAATTATGTGCTATTAAGAAATAATAATAAAAAAAAAAAAAAAAATGCTAATGACACTAAATTCAGGTAAGTCAGTAAAAAAAAAAAACAAGGCGAAAATCATAATTTGTGCAATGTCTGTGTGTGTGTGTGTGTGAAAAAAGGATGAGACTCGAAAAAAAAATTTGAAATGAATTTGGATTAATTATATTCGAATAAGCAAATTATTATTATGATTATATCATCATAATCACCATCATCATAAGACTTATTTCATCATTTTGATTATCAAAAATTAATGTTTGTTGATGATGATGATGATGAAGTAAGAGTGGGGCAAAAAAAAAAAAAAAAATTTCATAAAAGGACCAGATAAATAGTGTGTGTAAGTGTGTTGAAAAAAATAATGAGAGACGTTCATCATACATTCATAATAAATGATGATAATTTTTGATTGTAAGAAGAAAAAAAAAGAATAAGAAGATGAAATAAAGAAGTTTTGACCCTAAAAGAGACATGAAAAGAAAAATATATTCAGAGATCCAAATCAGGACCACACAGACATTAGAAATATAATAATATGTATGTATATTGGATTGGATTAAATAACTATAATAGTCTGTGTGTTTACAGTCACATTCATTCATTATCAACAAAAAAAATGGTATCATCATGTTGAATCAATTTGAATGAAAAATTATATTTGGGTGTGTGGGTGTGGACGAATTTTTTTTTCACTATCATGTAGGCGAGGTATGCCAATGAAATTGATTTGCATTTGTTGTGTGTTTGTGTGTGTGTGTGTGTGTGTGTGAATTGCCTATCCTGTTTTGTTGTTAATCAGGACAAAATTTGAAAAGCACAAAAATAAAAAAAAAACAAACAAAATAGAATTTTCCATACATTTCAAAGATGAATATCATTCATTCATTAAATTTAGATTTGATGATGAATAAATAAATATATGAAAAGAAAGAGTGTGAGTGAGATTGAAAAAAAAACAAGATCAACAGACAAGCAGAAAAAAATTGGACGAAAAAATTTGTAATAATAATAATAAAGCCGATATATAAGAATTGAGAGGAAAAAACATGGAAATGATAAAATCAGAAAAAAAATTGATAGTAAAATTCAATCAACGATCTGTTTTTTTGTTTTGTTTTCAGTCGATTGTCAATCGATAGTCGTTTTCGAATAAAAAATAAAATCATTATTATTATCCTTCTGAATGAATATTTCTGTGATGGTTGGTAAAAATTGCTGTGTTGAAATGAGTTATATAGTTGACAAATTAATTATGTTTCGTTAATTTTTTTCTTCAATGCTTTCACCTGTGATAGAATGAAAAAAAAATATTTAGACAAAATTGATCATCATTCAGTCACACACAAACATACCCATGGCTGTGAATCAATTTCTTTATTAATGGAAACATGTTTAAGATGGCATCGTTGACCACGATGACAGCCAGATGATAAACGCCAATTAAAACATTCACCACTTTTTTCAACAATTTTACGCGCTTGTTCTAATGTTGGTAATTGACCGGCACGTGATTGTTCCATGCTTGGAGCAAAACGTAGCTTTAATGGTTCATTAGGATCGGCACACAAATCTTGTCCATTATAGTTATGTAATGCAGCGATAGCTTCGACCGGAGAATTAGGATTATCATAATGAACGAATACAATGTTTGTACCATTTGTAGCTCGTCGTTCGAATGTTTGAATACCAGTAAAATGTCCATAACGGCGGAATCGACGTTTTAAGTAATGTAAACCAACTTCAGGTGATACGTTACAAACCCAAAGACCTTTATAGCCCATCAGATTAGTTGGACGGTTGGGCGATTGTGTATTATTTTCATTCATTGTGATACCATTTGATTCGAAACCATTATCGCCAATCCCAATATGACCACCACAATCCGTTATGGTCAATGATCCATTTGATGATCGAATAAATCCCAATTGCGATTCTTTTATTTGTCCCGATTTCAATAATTTATTAGCGTCGTTGACATTCATTGAAGGCGATAATGGTGATGCACCTATTGGACGAAAATTCAATGCCTGTGTCTGTTGTTGTTTACGATAGAATTTTTTATTCAATCCATTCTGTTCCGTATTGAATTGATCATAGAATGATTGTATAGTATTAGCCACCGGTATATTTGAAGATGATGTGAAAGCATTAAAATAACCATTCGATGTTCCATTGTTACCATTGTTGGAACAATTCAATGATTTATGAGTTGGTGAATCTAATATACTAAGAAATGATGAAGAATCTACTAGATCGATATTATTTGAACCAGAACCACTACTGTTAAGGACATTATTGCCATTATTATTATGAACACCATTACTATGGTGACCATTTAATGATGATGCCGCAATATCAGCAAATGTTCTTGGCTGCTGCTGTTGTTGCTGATGATTTGCATGATGATTTGGAGCGGTTGTCAAAAATGTATGATACTGTTGCTGCGAATGGTGTTGATGATGATGATGATGATGTTGATGATAATTATTCGGTGAACAATTTTGATTCAATTGATGATGTTGCTCTAGGTTAGTTACCGATTCGCTTGAGCAAGCTTGATTGAATATTGAATCATTCATTGTATTCAATGTATCGATTAACAATGATGTTGATGTTGTATTTATCGACACTGGTGGTGATGACGATGGTGTTGATGATGAAAATAGATTTAGATTGTTCGAATTGTTGTTGTTGTTGTAATTGTTTTTGTTATTACAATTGTTATTCTGATGATGATGATAGTGATTATTTATTTCATTCAACACACCAACAATAGTGGTTGCTGTATTATTCTCAACATTATTAAAAATATCAGAGACGGTGTTTTTCAGATTGACACCATTCTCATCGAATGATGATGATTGTGATGATGATGATATTACGTCATTATTGTTATTATTCGTCGTTGACAATGAATTTGATGACAACGAAGAAGACGACGGTGATGATGATGTTGGTGTTGTCACCGTGGCCAACATTGAACAATTTCTATGATCAAAATTGTTACCATATTGTAAATGTTGTTGTTGTTGTTGTTGTTGTGGTTGATTATTCGTAAACAATTGTTGTTGTAAATTGAGATAGCCTAATAAATCATTGAGGGTATCATCCGAATTTCGATAACCAGCAGCAACTGTAATCGGTTGACAGCTTTTCATCATGAGGCCATTTGTCGTTTTAGGATTTTGTTGATCATGATTATCAAATAATAGATCAGTACAACCGCTATCAACATTGAATTTGTCTATCATGGTGGTGGATGGAAAATGTAGATTATGTCTATAATGATGGCCACCATCTACACCGGAAATATGACCCGTATCATTGAAAGAATTTGGTTCAACCACTGGCACACTATCACTGTTGTTACCGTTCACCGGGTGTAATAACTTGTTATTGTTATTTTGTTGATAATGATGATGATGATGATGATGGCTATTTTCTGCACTATCATTTCCGTTTCCATAAAGCTTCATCGATAATCGATTATTTGAATTAAATGAAAGCTTATTATTACCAATGATCATCGAATGATGATGATTTTCCAACAAACCATCAAATGTTTGTTCACCATTTTTTTGTTGATTAGATTCCATAGTAGTTGTATTCGATGATAATGATGATGATGTCGATGAAGAAGAAGATGTGGACAGATTGTCCAATGAAAAAGAAAAAGTTTCACAATTGAGATCATTGGTTTCGTTATTATTATTATTTTTATTAATGCCATTATGCATACGATTATTATTATTATTGTTATAGCCATTAGATATTATTATATCGTTTGAATCATTCATCATCATTGTCGTTATGGTCTTGGCCGAAGTTGATTTGATTTTTCCATTATTTTGGACATTGTTGTTGTTGTTCGATGATTTTTGCTGTTGCTGTTTTGATAAAAACAAACTAATCAAAGTACCATTGTCGTTGGTCAATGTTTGATGATGGTTGCCGTTGTTATTGTTGGTCGATTGTCGTTGTTGTTGTTGTTCAAAATTGGCCACAATCGATTGATTCGATGGAGGCGAAATCGATATCGATGATGAAAGCGATGAAAATGATGATGGTGAGGATGATGATGTATCCATAAAGAATGACGATGATATACCTGATGAAAGTGATGATGATGTCGATGGTGATGATGATGAACCATTACCATTTTGACCATCGGCCAATAATCCAACATCATCTTCCAATGTAATTTCATCGCTTGAATCCTCTAACAAACCATCTTTTAGCATGGTAACAATTAGATTACTACTGTTTGAACGATTATTATCAGTTGATGATTCTGAAGATTCAGAAGAAAAAATGGTATTCTTCATTAATGAATTTCGGTGACTATTGCCAATACAATTGGATAAAGATAAATAATTGCCATCAGCATTAATATGCGAATGATTATGAAATGATTCATTCGATGAACATGATATCAAATCATTTGAATTGATAACGGATCCATTACTATCGCCATTAGACATATAAAGAAAACTTTTTGATGATGTTGATGACGGTGATTGACCGTGAATACATTCCATTATTAGATTATTATTATTATTATTATTTGTTTTGTTCATCGATATTGAATCAGTTAATTCGGATAATAATTCAGCAGCATTTATAGCAGATGTATCATTATAGTTCATGATTGTTGATGATTTATTATTTCCATTACAATAGATAGCTGTTGAATATGAATTATTATCTATTCCTTTTTTTGCCATTATTGTTCGACCTCCATTGGTTGTTAAATTATCATTCAAAGATTGTGACAATATGGCATCAATAACTTCATTCACCGATGAATATAATGGTGAATATTTATTGGCAGTTGTTTCATCGAATCCAGCATCACGCAATGCTTTATATCGTTGCATATATATGGATTCCGGTTGACCATCAATCATAGTACATCCTGAAATATTTATATCTGTTTGTTCGGACATTGAACGTCGTTCCTTAACGGATGTTGTAGTCGTTGTAGACGACGACGACGACGACGAAGATGGCGATGGTGGTGATGATAAATGTTTAAATTGAGATAATGATTGCTGTTGCTCGATGTGAACATCAGACGGCATATTTTTTGTTGTTATTGTTGAAATTTTCAAAAAATTTTCCCAAATCTTGGATATGATTGTTTAAAATGGATTGCACAAGCCCAATTTACTAGATTTAGACACGAGTGAAAGAATATTTTTCAATGAATGTCCATTATAATCAGATTTAGGATGAGATAATGGCAATGAGCCGACATGAGAATAATTGTTGGACAAACCAATGTAATGTTCAGATGATGATGTATGTGGAAAGGGACCTGAAAAAAAACGAAAACAAAAAAAATTAGTCAAACAATTTTTCATTATTTTTTGATCATGAATATGATTATATCTTTATTAATATTGTTGGAATTCAGAAAAACATATATATGATTTACTTGTTGATCTTTTTTTTGTTTGTTTGTTTCAATCATTTACGACATATAATTCTTGTCAACATGAGATTACAATATTAATGAATGTCCCACGAAATAATAAACAACAATAAAAAATCAAAGGATTTTAAAAAAAACAAGGATCATTATTTTTTTTACAGTAATCTTGAAAGCAATTAAGCTATTGAAATTGATGTAAACAATGGAACAAATTTTCATTGTTGTTGTTGTTTCTGTTTTTGATTCGAAAAAAATGATGATAATTTTTAATATGATAAAAATTGTTTGTTTTCTATGTGTGTGTGCGTGTGTATGGCCATCTAAACCACATGAATTTTTTTTTTGAATATCAGAAACAAAGATATCATCATTTGACAGACATTATATAGACGTTACACAAATGACCACCATGAACATCATGTCACCAAATAAACAAACAACCAAAACCGAACGAAACTGAAGAATGAAGTTATGTTTTCAAATTTTTCATTATTATATCTACTTATAACAAGTTATCATTCTCATTCTTCATTCAATATTCATCTCATGAATGATTATGATATATATACCTGGAATATATTTATAGCATCCATTTTGGTTGAAATGTATCATCATTGAAATAATAATAAAAAAACCAAGTGAGAAAAACTACTTGGAAAATTACTATCAATTTATTTTATTTTTTTTTTGTTACCTAAACATAGCATTATCATAGAACAATATATATATGAATTATTTTGACTACCTGGACCTCAAGAAAATAGAAATTAAATCTACCATATATACTTGAAAGAGCAAAAGAAGGAAAAGAAATGAAATGAAACCATGTCCAAATGAACCGGTGAAAATTTTTCTTTCCATTCTATTGGATGATATATTCTCATATTTCGAACGAATGAATGAACGACATTTAACAACCAACAGAAAGAAAAAAAAAATTCAAAATTCAAAAGTTATTTAAATTGAGTTTGTTGTTGATTACAATGAATGTTTTTAGTCAAAAAGAAAAAAAAATTTACATTTGCATTTCACATACTTTTTTTGTGTGTGTGTGTGTGTGTGTGTGTGGTAGGTCGCTTGTAGGTAATTTTTTTGCAATTGTTATGTATTAATATGAAAAACAACCAGGTAGACAAAAAAAAGATTCAAATACACAGGAAAAAAAACACGCACACAATCGATTCAATTTGCACTAAAATTGTAGTGTTTTTTTTTCTTGTTCTACTAGATTTTTTTTTTCCATTGCAATGAAACTTCACAACAACATGATTCGTATTCTAAGATTTTTTTTCTTTTTAGTTTAAATTTTTTTTATATATATATAAACCACTACTATATATAAATGAATTAATGCATGAATGAATAAATGAATAAGGTTGAATCCCATTGAATGATGAATATGAATCGATATCGAATCAATCGATTTATTGATCAATTTATCTGATAATAATAATGATGATGAAAAAATTTTTTAGCTTTACTTACTGAATGGTTTTTGCCATTTTTTTTCTTTCTACTTTTTTCTCCAAAACGAATACTAACCCGGCAAATAGAAAAAAAAATCCACAAATATTGTTACGATAAATAGATAGATAGATAGATAGCTGTAAATATTGATATGAATGACAGTAATGAAAATTTATTTGAAGCCAGAAATGATATTCAATAATGGATATCCATCAATCTTATCATTATTATTGATGATTAAACCGATTCGACATATAAATGGTTAAATTTTTATTGAATATATATTGAAACTAGAAAAAAAAAGTTGGCGACATTAAATTTTCCAATCCATACGTGGATACGTGTATTTTTTCTGTGTGAATCAAACACGTGAATTTCTTCCATCACATCGTTGAAGGTTATCAACATGATTATCGATTCATATATATATATACAGGTTTAATTTTGGAAATGTTATAATAATGTATGGGTAAAAAATTGAAAATAGAATTGATAACACATACCTTTACGAATTATTTGATACTACAAAATTTTGTATTGATAAGATTAAGATTTATGAGAAAAAAAATTGAAAATTTTCAATAATTCTAACCGGATAAACAATGTCAACCAGCAAAAAAAAACTTAAAACTATGAAATTTTTTTTTTGTTTAACATAACAGATTCAATGTGAATACAAGACAAACGAAAATCTAACTGAAGAAATTTAACATAATTCAACATACATATAACGTTTAAATTTGCAAGCTTATTTTGTGATCAATACGATGGTAGTTTTGGTGAAAACATTTCACCTTGACAAACATAAATGACAGAAACAACGACTACCACGGTGGTGAAAATATTCGATTAGATCTATGAAGAAAATGAAGAAATTTCCATTGAATTTTTAATGGACTGGTAGAAATGGTTGCCATAGATGACGGAATGATAAGAATGGAAAAAATACTTTTCATCCAAATACTTGGTATTTGGAATTTTATTTTTTGTTGTCGTCGTCTTGGTTCTTTCTTTCGTTTTTTTTCCACTTGCCGACAACGTTATGGTATGGTTATACGGAAATAGAATCGGAATAGAAAAATATGTCAGCATTCCGCCACACACGCACACACACACAGAGAGAGAGACCCCTTCAACCACCCTAGAAACACCAACCACTATTAGGAATACAACCATTATCATCATCATCATCATCATCATTATTATCCAAAGAAATATTCCGTAAATGAGGTCAGAAAATAAATGTGATCGATCCATAAGCATAAGTATAACTTGTACAGTTCCCATAGTATTAAATGAATGAAAATTGAAAGCCAATATGAACAAATTACTTCAAGTCAGGTATATAAAAAGTTGTGTGCGTTGATAATTGGTGGGTTATGAACGACACAAATTTTTTCATTTCTAGACTTTTTAAAATAAAAATTTCATCACATTTTTTTCTCTTTTAAAAAATGAATAAAATAAAATTAGTAATGATGATATAAGGATCGAGAATTTTTTTTACGCAATCGAAAATGTCAAATTGATGATGATCATGATTTATAGCATGCAAAATATATACATATGATGTTGATATATTGATCAGTATGAGGCGGGGGGCGGGAAAATCGATTACGAAAAAAATCAACACAGGTATAATGGAAAATATTTTCATTTGTTTTTTTTAGAATCAAACATCGATCAGATCGACATCATTCTCATCAACAATCATCATAATGATCATTAAATTTATTTATATCAACAACTACATTGATGTCAATCATATGGATGGTACCTCTCAATTAATTGATAGCATTAATTACATTGA